TATCAGCACTTAACTGAGACATCAAAACACCACCACATGCAAACAGGGAGCTATGACAGCCCTGGAAGAGCTGAGCCTCTCCACTGGCTATAAAAAGGAAACCTAGGATGYCCATCACATGCCGAAGCAAGGGCAGACTCTGGAATCATGTACCTAGAAGTGGTGGAAAGGAATAAATTCACAAKAAGGCTCTAAGACACTTCCATGGCATCATACCAGAAATCCGACCTTGCATTCGATGTGATGCCAACCYCCATCATTCCCTCTTGCTTGGCCTATCTCTTCTCCCTTCACCCACTGAACTGCTGCACGCTGCAAGTCCCTCAGAAAGCGGGTACTTAATGTCCCTGGACCACGATCTGCAGTGGCACAACAGCAGAAACGTTCAACACAATCCAAGTGGGGGAACTAAGAAAGAACCACTTGTAGCTATCAGAGCAGAAGCTCCACCACGTTTAAGGTGCATCTGAACAGTGTAACTGTGCAGAGCACTCCATGCATGAAGGATGTATTCCCTTCAAGCAAAGTTTTGCCCCAGACAGTAACCTAACTGTAAATCATCAGTACAAATGGAAATTCTTGACTGATTTCATCAGTTATTCTGCATTAAACTGGACATTTCTGTAAAATAACCTCAGAATAATGTTTCTCGATTGGTCAATGGCAGAAATTATCCTTTACCCTGTCTCTTAGTGCTTGCATGTAAAAGCCAATATAAAGTATATAAATATGAAATAAAGCTTCTTTCACACTTCAAAGCATCAGAATCATCTTATTTTATGTTTGATAGTTGTASTGAACTAGTGGTGTTATAAAATACAATGGTTCTGATGAACACCACTAGTTCACTACAACTATCAAACACAGCACAAGTAGTGACGTATATTATTACCAATGTTCAGCATTTCTTAAAGGCTTGTCAATAAAGAGCTCAGAATCAAGTCAAAATTAGCTAAAAAACAGCTGATTTTTACCCCCAAATTTGCAATTTCTGCTTTGGACTGCAAGCCACAAAGTCACACAGGGAAGCTCAAATCTTGCAAGCCGCCCCACCTCAGACACATCCATGTCAGGTCTCCAGGGCAATTTTGCTTCCACGGGTCTGTCCGTGAGGGGGAAGGAAGGAAGCCATCGAAGAAAGTCCATGGAACTTGCTTGCAGGCTCAGGTCTTCATCATTAGTGCTGACCAAGAGAAACGCTGTCAAAAAGATGTGGAGGAAATCCTAAAATGAGTTGAAACAGTCAAAAAACATTCACTAAAATGAGGACACCCTCTGCCATTCCTTTTAAGGAGTTTTCTTCATAAGACTAGATTCTTTTTTTTCTGTGTCACATTCAGCACAGACGTTTCAGGCAGATTTCAGAGGAATTTGTATATAATAGGCTATACTGCTATATGGCATTTGTCAAGTAAACCTGCTACAGTTAATGGCATTTTAGTCTTTAGGCATATTAAGCACAAACCTGCACTGCACAGGTTTGGTAACAGTAACCGACGTTAGTTGAATTCTAGGTATATATTTCCTTCCAAACCAGATGCATACGTTGTAGAAATACAATGTGTGGCTGAGCTGAGCTAATCTGGTGCGACTCAAAACACAGTGTCATCTGCACAAAGTTAGGGTAGAAATCTGCTCACSTAAATACCTGCTCATCCTGCTTAAAACACTTATTCCAAAGAGCTCAGTGAATAGTAGATAAAATAAGTATCTAATGCGGTTTGACAGCAACTCTGATGGAGCTAAACACCAGAGATCTACATTCTAATAAATAAATGAAGTCGAGCATTTACTGCCAGCAACTATGTCAAGTTAACGATAGGAAACTGTAGCTCTGCAGCTGGAGAAGTGCAATATTCTGCAAGCCAGAGGAGCAATGGAACTCRTCCAGCTTTGATTATTTATGGTGTGATGATGAAGAAACAACTTTCCACATGAGGAACTGCTTTAAAGTTGAACGGGGAAGCTAAAACAGAGATTTAATGAAAAATCAGAAGGGAACAAAACTACAGCTACAAAAACAATAACATTCATTTCAACAATTTAAAAATATAATTTATGTGCAGGGCCAGATGTTACCTTGTCCAACTTCAAGGTAAACAGCAAGCTGTATTCATGACAACCATTTGCTGAACAGCAAACATGCACTATTAAATGTTGCTCACTAYGTTCCTCCAAATGTTATCAAAATGAACCCAAACTCAAAGCAAACACACATTAAACAAAAGATACATCTGTATCTAATGCCAGGGGATTTTTAAAAAAATCCAGCCTTGAATAATCTACTGCAATCGTAATAACCTGAAATGTAAGAATGTTTTCAGGCTTGACAAAGAGCGACATTGAATTTTAAATATTTATGAGAACACTGAGAAGTAGCTTAGACCCAAGCTTTAAAACAGGCTGTCAGGTTTCGAATTCCTGAAGGCTGAGACCCCTTTCCCTGTTGGGCCTGCATTAGGAACAGGATGCAAAGCTCAAAAATAGAGCAGAGAAAAATCACTGCATGTGAAAATTTCCAGTTAAATAAGCAACATCCCTTCATCCCAATGCTCAGCCCCTCACCTTTGCAACTCTTTTCTTACATGTTATAATATCTTATTTGATGAACACCTCAACAATTCATTTACATCATTGGTTCTTATTCAATAGTATTCTTAGCAAATACTGTTAAGATTTTTGAATGATATTCTATTATCATGTAGGCTATTCTTGAACATGACCAAGTACACCGAGAGACTGATAATTTTGCAGGAAAGGTGATTTAAAGTCTGTTCTGAACAAAAAAGGCTTGATCGTGTCCGGTAAGTCTTTGCCTAACCTTTGCATGTGTGCTTCAGGCCAGGAATAAACTATCCTTTCATATAGTTTAGCTAAGCGAAGGAGGGACTATTCTCAAATTTCTGTTTTTGGGAAAACACCAAGTTAGCTCATTTTGAAAATTAAAGGATTAGGCTGGGGCGGAGGGAAGCAGGAAGGCTTCTAAATGTAAATACAGTCCAGTAAGTTAAATRCAGTCTCAGTTTGATATGAAACACTGACTATAAGATTAGCTCTTCCTTTCTGAATGTCCCATATACTCTACTCCATTTACCTGATGAGGAAAAGGGAACATGAGTAAATTGCAGGTAATTAAGGATAGATGTGCCATAGAAGAGCACAAAAATAAACACTACATTTAACGTAGTTCAGCATGTGGACATAATACACTATGAAAGCCATGAAAGCCATTTTTTTTAGAGCAACAGATACTAAGGAGGAAGTTGTGAAAATCCACAGGGATCTTCCACCTTATCAAACATCTGCACAGTTTGATGAGAAATTTCCTTTTGTCTTTTATTTTACTTGGCTCCAGTCTCACAGTGCAACACCAGGCAAAGCACTATTAAGACAAGCAATGTCATTTGAATGGCACTACKTGCTTAAAGTTGCATTTACTATTTCAAAACACACACACACACAGACACACAAAATATTGCAACAGTTTCTGGAACCCCATTCTTATTATCCATTTTTTTTTAATATGCCTTCTCTTCATGTTTTCCTCACGTTTGTTTTGCAAAGTACCACCTGTCCACCCTGGACATCCTGAGAGTGACTTTTTCATCACTCCAATCCCCACATACAGTTTGACCACAAAAAGCAATGAGCAAAGTCACGGTGYAGAAACAATTGGTGCATTTTTCAGTTTGCCATCTAAGATGCTCTCACTTCTCTCACATGATAGTGCCTTCCTAAACTGCCTCAATTATTGCTCCCCAAATAATTCAAATATACATTAGGCTTTAAGTAAGAGCAGCTTAAACACAAATTTTAGACTAGTTTCAACAGCTTCAAAGAACTTTTAATCAAAACTGAGTTCCAGAACTTTATCTCATCGCAACAACCTGAAAAACATTTACAAATGGCAAGACTATCAACACAAGAAACTGATACAGCAGTGTAAGCTTCTACTTTGCCATATATATATATATATTTTAATAAAAACTCAACATTTTTAAGAATTCTGTATAASTTGATAAGAATTCCTTAGTATTCATCAGTAGTTCTTTCGTGTTGTTTCGCAGTGTCTCAGCATAAAACCGTGCACCAGTTTTAAACAAACAAAACCCTGAGGTATGGACACAGGTTCTGTCCCTGCAGTTAGGTCTGACTTTACCTGCTAGAGATGAGCTGAAATGGTCATTTATCAGGTCTGCCCTGTGCTGGGGGCTTCCTGCACCTTTCCTGCATCACGGGCTACTRTGGGCTTGCACCTTAGTAAAACAGCTGTTGTTATTTGCTCCTATGCTTAAGGTGAGGTCTCTTGTAAAGCTCAGGTGCTGCATGCGATTCCTGCAGTAAACTTGGCAGCACAAGGGAATAAATACAACCTATACCAAATACTTAGAGGAAGAGGGACAATTTCCTTTTTTAAAGCCACAGACTGGGCCAGCTGCACAGGTACAAGCACAAGAAGAAAGCTAAAGGCACTGGCAGCACTGGTGCTGCTGCCACGGGAGTGCAGGATATGCTTGCAGCTCCCTGTGAGCCGTGCAATCCACTGCAGAATGTCAAATTTCCTAGGAGAAAACCCAGATCACCAATTCTAAAAACATCTTTTTTTCATAAAACAGTCAAGCTCTGAGAGTTCCACCCCTCACAGGCACAAGTAATTTAAGTCTTGATCCCAAAGCAGGCTGGAGGCAAAAAAGCAAAAAATACAGGTAAATTCCTTTCAGCTTTTAAAAATCATAGAATCATAGAATGCTTAAGGTTGGAAGGGACCTCAGAGGTCATCTAGTCCAGCCCCCCCAAAAAATCTGAACATCTCTGTTATTATCAGGGCAGAACGTAACACCTGAAAGGCTGCCCAACAACAAACTGTAGGCAGCAAAGAGGGCTGACAAAGGAAACCAAGAAAACAAGGTTTAAAAGCTCTGAAACCACAAAACTCTGAGCATAGGGTGGTACCCACATCCAAATCACCTAGAGAACTGTTTGCAAATACATATTTACCCTAGAATTTGGAAGATCAAGATTAGTTCATGCAACCTGACGCATTTCTGCATGGGTAATATAATGTACCTTGAGTATCTCTTTCCTTAATACATTTTCTATTTAACAAAATGGAGGTGAATAAAGATTGAGAATGATAACCAAAAGAAAACACAAACAAAAAAATTTTTCAAGGGATACTTTTCTTGAGTTAGTTTTGCAACACAGCAAAAGCACACAATAATTTGGGATTTTAGTTCCTATTTTTCACCGCACTGCAAAATTCAGCTTTAATGTTCACCACTACTAGAAAGGTCAATAATCCCTTGTTTTGAGAACAAATTAAAAATTGTCCATAAAACAGAAGGGTCTTCACAGTTATGATGATTCTGCCAATGACTACAAAGATCTTCTTTTCTGCCAAACAACTGTTTGCATAAAATGCAGTTATATCCAGCCTTAGACCAAATTTCTATTTTTTTGCTTGGTGCACCACAACCTGAATTTTGCATCTCCTTGGCTACTTCACTGGGTTCTGACTGAGTTATTTCACTTTTAGGAAACACATCATTCTGATGGTGAACATATATTTGCCTTTTCAGTTTTGGAAAACTATAAAATTCCTCCTCTGGAGCACTGGATTTTGCTAAACATCTTCTCTCATTGCGCTTTTTCCAAAATTGAGTTGCATGTTTGACCAATTCCCCTTTAGTTCCTCTATTTCCTTGCAAAATCCCTTCCTTTACTCTTCCTTGGATCTCTTCTCCATGACAGCACAATAAATGAAACTTCATTTCAGCAAAAGACTGTGCAATAAATTGGCAGCGACCACATTTTATCTGTAATTTGACTTCTCCTGGATTATGGAAAAGGTCTTCAAAGTTGCACTTATTTCCTCTGTTAAAAAAAAAAAGAAAAAAGTAGTTTTGAGAAGAGATGGCATTTAATCATAATTAAAAACAAGTGCGGTCCATTCAATAATTTATTAACAGCAGAAGAAATAAGTGAAATAAAATAATATTAAGTCTTGCTAGGAAACAATGAAAGCAACTGTACAACAGTACTATTCAAAGCTGTTTTTTTAATTCCCTCCAAAAAYACTCTTTGTAAAAGCTTTTAATAACACCAACCTTTTAATAGAAGCTTTATAAAATTTTAAGTTCTTGAGATAAGTAGATCAATTCAAACGCAGCTGCCTCTGTTTGCACCAACTGATCCAAAGGCTTCTGCAATTGCTGTTGGTCCTACCCCCTACTCCAAGACAGCAACAAAGAAACTTCAAAGCTTCTGTTTTTGCCAAAACTTACTAACACAGTAAAAAGAGGAAAAAAATATGCACAATTAACAACTGCACAGCCTGTCTTCCCTGGTCCACAACAAGTCTGCATTATAAAGGACGCATGAAGCTCCACATTGCTGGGCTAAGCTTAGGCAATCAAGAGGACTCCACAGAGCTCCTTCTCATAGTGTCTAGGAAATGGGTCACACATTAATGTTACTAGAGATCAGAAAGACAACATGGTAGGCCTGAAATAAAAGCATGAGGATGTTTTTAACTTAAATATCTTTAATATTTCTGAGTGGTGCCCCAGTGAATAAAACTATGCAAGTGACTGCATAGAACTGAGATATTGAGTTGTACCAAGCTTAAGAAAGCACATTTCAATGAAAAGAGATGCACAGTGAAGTCGAAAAAATCCCTTTCTACTATTACAGCATTTCTACTGGGTGAAGAAAATTTGCCTCAAAATCCTACTGAAGAGATGAAAGTCCTATTTATCTCTGTGGTATGTATTAGCTTTTTTGCTGGGCTAAGTGATTGCAAAAAGAAGCAGTAATCAATGTAGATTTGGCTCTCAGCACTTCAGGGAAGGAAACGGGATAAGGATACTTAATAGAGTAAACAAGCTACAAGCTAACACTGAAATATGAATTGCTTTGCACTTATGGCATTTGGTTCACTTGTCTTCTGGAGAAAAACTACTGTAAAATCACGATTCAGCTTAACAGAGAAAATATTAGTCATTAGAAATCAACTAGTAAAAATATATACCCAAACTGCCAGTGGCCTTATGTCAGCTAAAATACATTGGGATGTTCTAGTGGATTACCTGTCAGTTTTAAAAAATATGGGAATCATTAGGAATGCCACGTGGGAAAAAAAACAGCTGAGAAAACAAAATGAATGAACAGTTTTCATAACGGTGACATTTATTAATTTCTACTGACAATGTTTCTTATTCTCTGTATTTCTACTGAATTCCTAGTTTTACGAAGATCTAATTAGTGGAAACACGCACCTCTCTGTTGCTTCTTCTGGCTCTTTCATGTTCGTRTCTCTGTTCTTTAAAGCATCCTGCAGCTGCTGCTCACTAGTAGAGGGCTCTGTGCTGATAACCACCCTGTGAACCTCCTTCAGATGGCCAAAATACACTTTTGCATGGCCAAAAACCTTAGCACAGAACTCGCAGCACACGAGCTTCTTGGGCCTGCCTTCGTTGTGATGCAGTTTCATGTGTGTGCTCAGGCTTCCAGAATGAATATAGGCTTTCCGGCAGATCCGACAGCTGTAGGGCCTTTTGTTGGTATGGGTATTCATATGGTCCTGAAGATGGTGCTTAAATTGGAAGTTATGGTTGCAGACATGACATTTATGCCACAGTTTAGGTACTGTTGAATATACATTTCTACTTAAGTCGCTTGATTTAGCGGAGGAGACATCATTATGTTTGTAGTTTACATATTTAGTGGGAAGCGGGCTATTTAAGATAAGACCCGGCTCTAAATGATCAGGAGATTTTGTGCCCACTATTGCTGCAGGAGTCAGCGGTGCAAAAGCCTGCACAACCACCACAGGCTTCGGTCTAATACTACGGTATTTTTTCACTGCTTCTGTTTTTTTGTCTTGAGGTTGCTGAAGATCAACTTTCATCCTCTCCCTCCCTTCTCTGAACTTATTAACAAGGCATTTCCTCCGCTTGGACTGAAAAGCCAACAGATCATCTGGGGTTCTTCTTTTTCTGCCTCTTCTTTTGGAGGGCAGAGCATTCATTTTTTTAAGGCTGTCAGCATCCATTTTATTGGATGGACATAAGTTATTTTCTCGGATGGCTTGCCTGGGGACTTGTGTAAAAGATACAGCAGGTCGTTTATCGGATGCTTTAGTAGGAACATGAAGGGTTTTCATCGAAGGTGGTATCTTTTCACATTCAGCTCTTAGTGAAGGGCTAGATACACCTATAGCATCAGCATTCTGCTTAGATTTAGAAAACATTGTATTTTTCACTCTTGAGTAGGGCAGAATTGGAAGCTTCCCCTTTGGTGCAGATGGAGTCAGTTGTACCACATTGCCCAAAACTGCTGGTGACAGTATTGTGACCGAATTTGCAGAATTKGTGCTTTTTTCTTTTAGTTTCTTGGACACAATGAGCGATTTTTTTGTGTTTTCAAATGCTGTCTTCACAGGGTGCTTCATGGGATTACCTGTACTTGCTGGCTTGGTTAATGAATCCTTCATTTCAGATGCTCCAGAATCATTACCTTTAGTAACAGCTGCTTTGTCTAGCAAAGGAGCCCCCGGATCCACACCGTGACCTTCACTCAGTAATGCAGCAACTGCAATTTCAGCTGAACCCCGGTCCACGGACACCACTCGCTCACCTGAATCTGAACTACTACGAGCCTCAGGATAGTCTTCACCTAACGCTGAAGCCTGGGACGAGACCTGACCTTTGGTAGCAGTCTTGTTACGTGCAACCAGGACAGAGATTTGAGTTGTTTTTTTCTCACCCAGCAATTTATTCCTCACAGATTGGTACCTAGGGATAGGCAGCTTAAGATTTTCAGGAGGGCTCCTCTTTGACTGCTGCGTTTGCTGTGTCACTGCAGGGGTAACATAAGGCAAAGCCAAAACAGAGAAAGTTCCCTCGTGAGCAGCAACCTGCATCACAGTGTAGTTTTGTGTAGGTACTACCAGCGGCGTAGACCCTGCAGCTGAAATGGGTGTATTTTGCTCAGRCAAAGGGGACTGAAGACAAGGAACCACTCCAGATGTTAGAACTTTCGGTACCATTTTTGGAGCGATGGTCCTAAATTGACTTTTCTTCTGACAACTTTGTATGATATCAGAAGGCGATTTGTGTTCATCTGTAATAATAAAATACACACAGATAATGTAATATAATGTATGGTATTTCTTATTGAAAAAAATCAGTGTCAAAAATGAAACTGCTTACAAGGAGACTATCACACACAAACCTGCCACAAAAATGGAGGTATTTAACCACCACTAAATTAGCCTTAAATTGCAAGCTTTGCATGGACAGAATAAAAATAAAATCCTGAACCCTGAAGCAATATACTAAAATATATATTTACACAAATAACAGTCACTTAAGCTAATTTTAAATGGTTATACACTCTAGGTTATACACTCTGCAACACTTCAGAACACATACACCTTTAACACTTCTGCCCTGAAAAACCTATACCAGGGCACTGAAAATATTTAGGTGGAAGAACTAGCGTGAATTAAACATTTTATGCTGCAAAAGTCTTCTAAGCACCTGCTCTGACTATAGTCTTCTACCAGAGTCACTGCATTTTGCAGAACATTTCTATAACATTTATGATTTGCACTTTTTATTTATACAGACTAAAGCTTACACGATGGAGTCTTTAAAAAATTACTTGCCAATTGTACAAGTATGCAAACTTGTAATAAAATCAGAGAGACCTCAAGAATTATTATTAAAAAGGATTTGCACAAATTCACTTATTAAACCAGTATTTCAGAAGATTGCTGCCTGTGTTTCTTTATACTTCAATTCGTAAGGTATCCACTCTCCACTCAAAGACAGCAAATGAGGCATCCACAGCAAAAATTCCATCACTCCCCAACTCCCACCTCTCCCACAACCATCTCAAAATGACAGTTCAAGCACCATCAAGGAACAGTTCAAGGTTTGGAGGAAACATTTGTACAAATAATGCATTACACTAGCTTTAAAAACGCATTTACGTTTCTCAAATTCATGWACTTGCCAGTGCAAATTTAGGCACTAAAATAACTTTTATTTAGAAAAAAATGTCTCTACATAATTCCTGAGTACTCCAAAAGAAACTGGCATTTTACAACCTAAGATCCTCAAGAGTAGAAAACACAAAATGCTCTTTGAAACCAAGTCCTTTTAAATGAACATTCTTCTTCGGTAGTTATTACAACGCTAAGCATTGAGATAGCTGTTTGAGAAAGGATTTTTATACAAACGCTCAATTTTTCAACGTTTGTAATTTTACGATAAACATTTCTTCCAGGCAAGCCATGTTTGGTCGCAGGCTTGATTTTCTTTTATTTTTGCCAAGTTTTCATTAAACAGTTTAGTGAAGAGATATTCCTTGCCGTGCCCCTGCTATGCAGAGGCCCCTCAGCTCTGTTTGCCTCTCATCCCGCAGAGCTGCTGGAGTGAAGCAGCTCAGCCAGTGTCTAAACACAGAGAGGGGCTAGATGCGAAGTAGCTGTCCGAGGATCTTTCGTACCCACTAGGATTTTGGCTATGGATTGGGAAAGCTAATTGGAAAACATCATAGTAGCTTATTTAGCTTTCTGGATCAGGCAAAACAGCCAAAAGACTCTCACTTTTGAGGTCCTACTGCCCCCCACACACAGAATATTCAATGATCACCTGTGACCAAGAATATTTGTTCTATTTACACTTGGCTAAGAAATTCCTTCAGATACTAGAATAATTCATGTTTTTCCCAGCTTGACACTGGAGAACTTGAATGGACTCTGTCAGGCACCACACCAGAAGGACAAACGGAAACTTAATATACATTTTCTCCAGGACATTCCACTTGTATTCTGCACCTCCTTTCAAATCATTTCTGTCCCTGATTCAAAGGGATATGTGCAAATATCTGAAAATCTTGGAAGCCAAGAGAGTGGTTTTCACTCAAGCACTGCAATGGCCAGTCTGCAGGATGGCCCTGGGCTTTAGGCCACATTCTTTCCAGAGGCCATAGTCTAGAGGTACTTTACTGGCAAGCAACAATTTTCATAGTTTCTCCTAAGCTCTCATCAATAATAAAGGAAATGAGAGAACTCATTAAATTCTGAATGGTGTGAAGCTCACTTTCAACCAATGTTTTTACTATTTTGTATGCATGCAATTGGAGCAACAGGTAGACACTTCTAAATAAGTCCAAGGTTAAAGCAAACACTGCTCAACCCACTTACTTCAAAAGTGTCTGTTAAGAGATYACCCATTAGCACACTACTACAAGGAAGTGTCAGCAGTCTGACATTTCAGCATGTAAGTTTTCCACAGCTCTAAATTACCTCCAAATTGCACAGGACTGGCCATTGGTACACCAACAAAAACCAAAGTTCCTGTGAAGCCAGGAGAGTCCTCTGGAGGACAGAGTGTCTTTCCCAGGACTTCTCTTTCTCCACGGTCCCCTTTCCYTCATGAGATCCACTCTAGCCCAGTCTACCCTGTTCTGTTTCTTTCTGAATCTCTCCCTTTATGCAGCACATGTATTCTCGGTGAACTCAAACACTGCAGAAAGCGTATGAAAAGACACCATTTTTCTTACTAATACAACCTATTTCATTCATTAAGAAAAATGAGCTCAAAAATCAGCGTGGATCATTGTTAAATTTTTAATAAACTGTGTAAGGCCATCTCACCTGTCCATGTTTATACTGTTGAGTCATTTGCTGAACTGAAAGGGAAAAAAAGTTCTCTCTGGATATGAAAGAGTGTGTAACTATTCTCTGAAAGACATTTCTAAATGAAGTTCAATGGGAGTTAATAGTTACACTCTGCCAAAACCCCATACACTCTGAATACCTGTGGATACTGCCTTTCCAGCACAAGTTCCTTGTTTTTGCTGATCCAGCACACTTTGTTGGACACAATGTTTCTCTGCAGGATTAGCATGCAAAAAAACACCACCTGCAAAAGTGCTTCAATCAGTTATAAATAGAAACAAGGAGAAAAAACAAACAAAAAAAATGACAATATAAAACATTACTTTCTAGCTAATGCATTAAGAAGGCTAATGCTTCTTGCTCTTTGTCATTTCGCTCAAAAAAAAATTTAAAATCTAATATATTATATGCCAAATACAGGGCGATAGTTTAGAGAAAGAATAAAGCTGGTTAATGCCATAAACAGATGGGATGCTTCAGCTTCACTACCATGGCAGACAGTCAACACTAACAAAACAAAAAACTCACAGAAGAATGAAATTTCAGTAGCTTTAAAAAAAGTTTCAAATACGGGAGCTAAATTCTAGGCCAATTTGCACTTTCCGTAATCCCACTTAAATCAACAGAACTGAAGACACTAAACAAAACAGAATTTGGCAGTCTCTGTTCAAAACTAGTTTTGCTGCACACCTCTAAAAAGTGAGGGTGGCAATAACGTTCAAAGATTAGGATTGTCCCAAATAATACACTATAACAACCTATTTTCTGCTGTTTATAACCTTGTCACGTATTAACCTTCTGGGTGGAAGATGCCATACTAGGCAACTGCCTCAGATAATTTTCTAAAACAAATTTTCTCAGATCGTGTCAGCTGTTCCTGTGCAGGCCTTTATCCAAAACAGGAATAATCTATTAATATGTCTGTACATTAGAGGAAAACCTTGATATTTGACACAGCAATGTCTTGTTTCTCTAAAAATTTGGCAAAGTTGTAAGCTTTTGGTATGTGTTGAATGTGTTCAATATGTTCATGTGTCAGGTAGCTCATTTTTCCAATGATTATTTTCTATTGAACCTACTCCTGCCTCAGGATGAGCTGGATTTTCCTAAAATTATCCTAGTTAAGTCCAAGCAACCGAGGTGAAGCAGGGAAACAGTCTCTCCTCTGCTCCAACCTGCTGGATTCAGGTAGTGTGAAACTAGGGTATGCACAGAGCAGGAAAAAGACGAAAACTGGAAATGAGATTTACAAAGCAGCCAGGAAAAATATTCGAGGTGGGGTATGGCTATTAAAAGAAGACTATTAAAATGGGTAGAGAACATTGCTATTGCACGAGTTTGAAAAGCAGGAATATTTCAGCATAGAAGGAACCTTATACCTTGGCACTTCTTACTCTTTTAGAGCTTGATTTTTTTTTTTTTTTTGCGAGTCATAAAATCATTTCTGCATAGGCATCCTTTTATGCAATTTAAAATAGATTACAATAATAAACTATGTAACAAAGTGTTCCAATAGAAGACAAGAAAACCACAGCATATCATTTGCAGAAACACTAAGATAAGGTAAAAATATTCTAAGAAAACAGTGTGTTCTGCGTATCATGGGAGGAACAAGATTAATTTGTTAAAATTCTAAAAAGGAAACTGAACCTCTTTAAAGTTATACATTATTAATTCTGATTTAAGTATCAATGTAATTTGCTGCTTGTGCACGTAACATTTTGCCATRTAGAAATGCCATCTATGCTTTAAAGTCTGTGCAAATTTATTAYTGTAAGAGATTAGGACTATAGTGAACTGAAAGAAATTCTAAGAGCAGAGCGACACTTCCTAGATTCCTTAATCTCCATCAGTCCGTCCTTAGCAAGAGAATATTGCAGCTCATGTTCATGTCATCCCTTCTTTCCTGACATAGATCCTTTTTGCACTACCAACAGCATAATGACATGTGCAAAAGTATACACAGATCTGAATTTCAAAAATATRCTGTCCAACATAACTCCCTAAAAAAATACTAACAAGATATACTGACAGATAATTTTATTAATTTTCAGATATAGTTTCCTCTGCTCTTTCTTACTCTTGAAAGTAAACAACAAAGCAACAAAAGTTGCTTCATTACTTAAAGCTTCTTTCTGTAATGAAGGATTTTTCTGCAAATTGAGAGGTTTCTGCAACCTCTCAATAGTTCTGTTCTCAAAAAAACCTGTTCTGACAAACAATATCTGTGAAAGAGGAAGTTAACGCATCAAGAAGTCACTATATCTAGACGCTGTATTACTAGGATAAACAGCAATCATCTAAGAGAACATTCTGGATTTCTCAACTAAGGGAAAAAAACAGCCTTGCTGTAGATTTTAAATACTTAAAGGCTTTGTAATATCCTTGAACTTTTACCTCTCTGTATTTTCCCAACACAAGTAACTTTTCA